AGCATCAACATAGATAATCGATAGTTATTCCATAAATAGAAATACAGTAATCCATCATCAATAATTCTGGTTTTTTTCTTACTTGTTAATTTTATATTTTCTTATCAGCCTCCGCCGGACTTGCTCTTGCTTATGTCATTCAAACAGTGGCTCTGACACAATACGCTGTCAGAAAATCGTCAGATGTCGAGAATTTTATGACGTCAGTTGAACGAGTTATGGCCTACACCAAACTTGACTCAGAGCCTGGGTACAAAGTGGACAGACCTCCTCCAGAACACTGGCCACGTAAAGGAAATATCATATTTAACGATGTGTCGCTAACATATTACCCGGGGGGTCCTCAAGCACTTAAAAGCATCAATCTCGGCATCAAAGGAGGCTCAAAGATTGGTGTTGTAGGACGCACGGGCGCCGGGAAATCGTCTTTTGTTTCCGCTCTGCTCCGCATGCCTGACCCTGATGGAGAGATCCTGGTGGATGGAATTCAGATTAAGGAAATTAATCTTCAAGCAGCTCGAGGATGTATATCCTCCCTTGGTCAAACTCCGGTGCTTTTTAGTGGTTCGTTGAGGAAAAACCTGGATATTGTGCAGCGCTTCCAAGATGTAGATCTCTGGCGAGTGTTAGAGGATGTGCAGCTGAAAGATTTCGTGGAAAGTCTTGAGGGACAATTGGAGTACGAATTATTGGAAAATGGAGCAAACGTCAGCATGGGAGAACGGCAGTTGATTTGTTTGGCTCGTGTTCTGTTGCAGCAAAACAAGATCATCATCTTGGATGAACCCACTGCACACGTGGATCCAGGCACAGAAGAAACAATCTGGAGAGTGGTGCGAGAGAAGCTGAAGGACTCTACAGTAATAACTGTGGCTCACCGTCTGAGCACCATCCAACACTGCGACAAGGTTTTTGTTTTTAAGGAGGGAGGGGTGGTCGAGTCCGGAACTTTTGACGCGTGAAGACTCAAGTGTTTTCCGTTAGTTTTCATAACTGAACCTAGTTAGCCATGAAAGTGCAACTACATTCTTTTTAAGTTATCCGGGACGGAAACAGACACCTTAGGAAACGTACTAATTTGCCCGCTCTGGTCCTTAATCTTGCCAATGTGGAGCCCTCTCCAGTAGGCCTTAAAATATTATGCTTGTAAAATTGGCATATTGTGCCTCTAGCATTGTTTAATGTTTTGTTTTTGTTTTTTTTTTTTGCCAAAAATGCTCAAATTTACGCTCGTTTTGAAAATATGCTATTTTTTATTTAAGCATATATAGCCACGTAAACGGCCGTGATAGTTGCAATGATAAAGTTTTTAACTATCACGCGCGTTTGAACGCTTACGAAGTATATATATCTTATTAGAAGTTTTGTTGTGTAGTATCGCTGAGTATTTTTTACGAGTTGTGCCGTTTTTTGACGAACCCGTAGGGCGAGTGAAAATACAAATAACGGGTAAAAATACTCAGCGATACTACACAAAAAAACTTTTTATAACTCATTTGTTATCCAACACGCCAAATTTTTATTTCAGCGCGGGCGAATTTCGTGGATATTTCTGGAGCACAAATATTGCGTGATATTTTTACTCGTCTTAGGCGTTATTTGTACTCTGCTCACAGTTGAATAACAATATGTACTATTATTGACTATAAGCAACTAACATCAAAGAGTGAATGATAGCTTTTCAGTCAGCAGTCTTTCTAAAAACGGTCTGAAATCGAAATGGTAGTTTGTTCTCATCATCTGCTGGTAGGCTTCAGTATTTTCCGTTCGCAACTTCTTGACTATGATTCAAAATGCCACCGAAATTTTTGACGTCAGCGCGTGCCAAATTTTTTTACAATATGCGACCTCATTGCGTGTTTTTTTCAACTATCATCAACTACCATGAAAATTTTGAACGTAAACATGATGGTCAACGATAGTGAATGAACGTTGACTGTATAATCAATTACCATGACCGTTTGATGTACACCTGTGCTCAAAAGTACGTTGGTTTTTTTCTTTAAAAGTGCTTTTCAAAAAAAAAGAAATCCGGTGTTAATTGAGCATGATATCTTCTTTGTTTTGAGTTGCATTCTTGCTCTGATAAAACACAAAGAACCACTTCACTTAATTCCAGATTAGAAGCGGTGAATTATTAAAGTGTTTAAATATGATGATAGCATCTTGATTCTCTTTTTTTGTTGCCTATGGACGCGCAAAGTGGAACCGAGGCAATTCATACTTCCGGGGTGCCGAGTCTGATGTGCACGCGAGGGACTCAGTATTACGATAATCTTCTTCCCCGAGAAGAAGAAAAGTACACTGAGAGATACTTTTTTTTTCTGATCGCGTCATAAAAGCAACTCATTTNAATTGCAAGAAAGCTTCAATAACCAGCGTGCAGTTAGGGATTTTGACAACTACCGTTAAGAGTCTTAGTCAGATACAGTTCCATCCACGAAAGTTATCTCTCTCGTACTATGGGGCCTTTAGTTTGTTGGAGGAACAGTTCCACGAATTGATGAACGCGCACAAGGTACCAACATGCGAACAATACGGGTCAAAGGTTATGTCTACTTCCGTGCCGGTCGAGGAAGAGAAAGGCCATATATGGAAGCTAAAGACCATTTTTGTGTTCACCGCATCATGAGAGCGAAGGCGCATGATGTTCTTGTGGCTGAGGTGTCCTCCTGGGCTTGAACTGGAAAGGGTAACCGTTTAAAAGTGACACGTCATTCTTGTTTTGTTTTCTACTTTCTGTATAACAATTTTAATAATGGACAAAACTGGTTCATTTCGTTTCCCTTTTTAGCATGATTGCATTGTTTATGTTTTTTTCTTGGAGAGTTGGTCTTGTAGCAAGCACCTCATTTTTGGTGATTGCAGCATTTTATATGGTTAGACCTATCCTTAGAATCTTTGCTGCGGTACCTTGCATGATCATAATCGCGACTGTTGCGGTAAAAAATCGTAAGCCCGTCAACTGCGAAGACATCACCACCGGCTTTATGATTCGGCAACTGAAAGATACGAACAGTTTGATAGCTGCTGAAAGAAAACTCGCATTTGTTCACGGCCAAAGTCATACTATCCTCGAGGGATTTGCAAACATAAGAGAAACTGTACGAATCTCACCGCAGTAACCTGAAATATCTTCAAAACTGAGCCATTGAAAGAAATAAGTTCCAAAAGTTTTGGGGGGTGAAGTTAGGAGATCGTCAAGAGCAGGAGTGACAATAAGGATCGAGCAGTACATTTTTGATAGGATCAATTCAGTAAAATCAGCTAGAAGATAAGAAAAAAATAAAGATAGCAGAGCACCCATACTCATTCTGTTCTTATTAATTTCATTCTAGTTCCCAGAGCCATGTTACCCTTGTTCAGCATAACGGGAAGAGTAGGCCTGGGTATGGAATAATCCAAAGCTGATCTCGAGAGTAAACTCAGAACGCATTGGCTTTGCATAACTTCGCCACTTGATTGGCTTCTAAGGTGGACTACTACAGGCTATGGCGGTCGTCAGATACTTTTGATATCACATGATCACTGGTTCTCATTGCCAGAAAACAAACAGCAAATAAAAAGTAAAAACATCCATTCGAGATAATGGTCCCTAATTATGTTCTTAGAGGAATAGCTCACACCAACTGGCCAAGCGGCTGTCAAAGGAATGGCCTCTCATTCTTCAGAAATATCGTGACCTGCTTCACGAATCCCCCACGTAATTAGATCTTCGTTGGTATTTCGCGTATTTCTCTGCATTCGCAGCTGTTTACCACAAAAAACCGTTGCTTACGCAATACATGCGCCTAAGGAAGTTTATTGTGACAATAACGTTTAGCACGCCACTGTATAGAAAAATCCCGCTATCCTCTTAAAACGCATTGCAACCATAGGCTAGTGACCCTCTCTTAGATATAAAATGACCTTGAAGGATTTTAAAAGCATTACAAAAAAACTAACTTAAGTAACGATAAAAAGTAACAATAAGTACTCCCCTAAAATTGATTTTCCTAAATAAGCGCCCCCATTAAAGTGCCCCTGAGACGAAAATTGACCATTTTATTTTGGGCTAATTCTTTTACAGAATGTTGAATTGGGTCAAGTTAAAACCCTTTTTGCCATTAAAAACTCAAAATAAACCTTCGATGACCAATTTTTACCGCTTCAAAGTCGTCTAAAAATCGTCCGCCATTGCTGAAAACATGTTCCAGCCGTACAGCAGGAAACGTCATCATGACGTCAAAGGCTCAACAAACTTATGCTTTGCTTTGTCACAACTCTCTTTGTTCGCTGCAAAGAGAATCACACATAGTACTTTTTTGAGAACTGTT